TCTTCCGAAAATACCGTATCCCATCGCTTTATCGAGAGCCCCATTCTCCTCCGAATCGTCCTTTTTCTCTTGTCTGCGATGGCGCCGATGCCGTTGTCGTGCGGGGAGCAAGACGTTGACGCCGATATTTCTTTTTCGCCGAGCGATTCTTCATCGCCATCCTCGAGGGGTAACTAAAATACACGTCTGCAGGACGGTTCGTTTAATACGTTGCTTATTATCCTGGCTTAACGCGTGGCTGGATAACCAACTGAGACCGAAGCAATTCACTTATGTCCTCTTAATTTATAATAATACTTTAGAATGCGAACGGCCCGGCGTAATAATAATGCACTATTTTTAATTATGCGTTATTTTATGATGAAGAAGTCAATTGATTTATTAAGATATTGGTTGGTGCTCGATCGCTACGCACATTAATTAGAAATAATCGATAATTAACGACGTTTTCAGTTTTCGTATTTAAATAGGATATTCTTTGCGATTTCACGATAACAGTGTTGTGCACTGTACTCGATCGTATAATATTGGAATTGAGACGAGGATACTAGAGGTGGATACTAGATGCCTGTATGTGTTTAAACGTGGAATTTTTAGTTTCAGGTCCAAGTCTTAAAATTGGTCAAAAAAGAACGCGAATGTGCACTTTACTTCGACACATACTTGGCCTCAGACTTCCCCATTTAAGTAAGTATAGTACGTTTCATTGTCAGTGTACTTAAATCTTTACTATATATTTATCGCACGTAAAAATAAGAAAAGAAAAAATGAAGACAAATCACACATTTATCGTATACGTAAAAGGAGAATTTTTCAAATTTTAAATTCCATTAAATCGATATTCCTAAAAATATCGCTACTAAAAATATTCGAAAAATATTCGAAAAATTAAACACGTTATCTAATAATAAAGCTTTATCAATTGCGGAATATCAATTCGTTTAAATAACAACCATTAAATGCTTACATAAAATATTATCTAACTAATCATCGCGTTTTTATTCGATGTAATTTAATTTGAAATGGCAGATAATTTAATATGTAGAGCTCGGACGTAATAAATATTATTAAAGAAACGAAGTCGAGTAAATATCAGCTTCGTTCATTAACGCGCATTGATTTATATAAATGCTCGCGCGCGCACATACACACAAATACGAGAACTATGTATTACACGCAAAAAAGTAAAAGACATGTAAAAAGCCCAAAAAAAAAAAAAAAAAAAAAAAAAAAAAAAAAAAAATCAAACATGAAACAGAAAAAAGTAACCGCTAATAAAATTATGAAACCGCCGCTCTGATTTCACTTTCAGCGCTAGAAAAATTCCCTCGGTGTGTAACCATTTTTTTTTTTTTTTTTTTTTTTTTTTTTTTTTTTTTAATCTCCATTATGCTAAGTAAGTAACGAGACACGGCCCCTTACTCGTCTCTCATAAAATAAAACTGACAGCCAACCACACGACTGTATTCCGCGCGGAGACAGATCGAGTCTTCTCGTATTATAATCACTTGCTCCACTCTCCCAACGGGATACTTATTAAACTTTCGTCTTTTTTCCCTCCCGCCGACGTCTCCTACATGTAGCTAGCTGCATTATATCGTATGCAGATACACGGATGCTCAACCGGCAACTATTGTTGTTGAAAAGAGCATTACAAGCGCAAAGCGTATGGTGCTTAAGAATGTCTGGAATAATTGCTTAAGCCCAGAGCCCAGAGCCCAGAGCCCAGAGCCACTGAATCGAATCGAATCGAATGGAACGCGCATTTGAAAATATGTTCCTCCATCACCGGGAATTATCGTAAAGCATAGTAATCGTAATTCATCTTCTTTTACGTCGCCATTATTTTCCCTTCAAAATGAATGATTTAATATTAAGATTACTTCTGCTTAGTGCGTATAGATTTTAAAATGGCGGTAATTCACTTATTTAACGGCCTTCATTTATTAAATTGAAAATAAAACTGAACCAACAGACGGCAGGCAGACAGAACTTTTTATTTAATTTGCTATTTTATTATTTCAATTCATTAATAAGTGTAAAGTTCGAAATTACCTTTTCATTGTTATAATGCGAATGTAGCTTACAGAATATCACCACGATAAAATCATTATCAAAGACATAAAAATTTTCGCTCCTCATATTTATCGATCGTTTTCACGTCACATTAGATATCAAGTATGAATTCATCAGTTCATTATCATAAAATTATTAATCCCCAATCGCACGATTATATTTAATGTAAATAAATTACATTGGTTAAATGTCGGGCAATAATTTTCCATATCAGCGCACCAACAATGATCATTAACGATGAAATTACTTAACAATATATTCTTAACTCAGTTTAACGACTTTAGTTTTACATGCAACAAAAATGATAAAATGACGTAAGAATTCTAAGACTCTATCGCGGGGCATTGCTCATCTTAGAATGTCGGAGAAGAATATATCCTCGGACGCGGTGCTGTAGTATCCATTTGGGTCGTAGCTTTCCTGCGGATTCTCACTTTCATTTTCGAGGGGTACGGTTCGTGAAAAAGGATGAGCGCCCACTACGCGTCATCTCTTACCGCTCGCACAAATTATCTTTTCAAGTTTGTCCGCTGATTGAAATCACGTCGAAAATTCGCAAGTTTGCTCGTTGGGGGAATATCGTGGCGAGGGTCGACATGCGGACAGTGGGGCACGGCGGGGCCAAGGCAGAGCAAGGGGATGGGACACATCGAAGGTAGCCGGTCGCTACAGCACCGAAGCGTCTCCTTCCCATTTCGTCGGTCCAGGCCAGAGGCTCTTGGATGGATACGCCTAGGTCGTTCAGCGGTTAGCCAAGTCTGGAATGAGTTTGGCCCATCTTCAAGTTGAACCAAGCAAGAGTTTCGGAGCCACGAAGATTCGTAATCCTTTCTACGTCGCTCGCTCTCTTTCAATTTCTTGCTTCCTGTATTCCACTGTACTGCCTGCCATACATACATGGGCGCACGCACACGTACGCACGTACGCACGCATATAAGCCCAATCAATACACTTCTCCTCTACGCCCCTCTTTATCTTTCTCTCTTTATTTCTGCCTGTCTATCCATCCTTAACATTCTACCAGCATTTGATTTTTCCCCCCAGCCCTTATCTCGTTCATATCTCTAGTTTTTTTATTCTTTCCTCTTGTTTTTTTTAACAATTAAATTAAAAAAAAAAAAAAAAAAAAAAAAGAAAACGAATTAAAATTGAAATTTTAATAGAGCTCGTTTATCCTGAATTTTAATAATTTGTTTCGTGATGAGAGTTTAAGGTGAAAAGCTCGTAGCATCAAAGCTCATGCACGTGGTGTATTTTGCTTATTAAAATGCAATCGGATCAGTAAATACATCTTACCGAGTCTTTCTTGCCACATTCACTCGCATAATCAATGTTTACTTTGCTAAACCTCAAATAATCATGGCGAACCTTATGAGCAAGCAGCACATAATAGCTAATGCTCGTTAAAACAAAATCTTTCAAAACTAAGGCCACAACTCTTTAACACCGAATGTGTCATTGGTAATTTCATGTTGCAGGCTCGCAGGCAACGGATTTGATTCATTTACCAAACCATTCATTAGCAAACAATATCAATATTAACCTCTCTCCAATATTATATCCGATATTTACATAAATACATAATTCCAATCTCAAACGCTCACGTTTTAAATTCAACCGGATTGACTGTCATTATCATCAATGTTTTTTCTTTCTTTTCTTTTCTTCATTTTTTTTTTCTCTACACCATTCATAATTCTTGGTTTTCTCTCAATACCGCGCGCCTGCCTCGTAGTAAGGAGTGGCTCATCGAAAAGGGGGAAGAACACGAACAAGACGAAAGGAGGAGTCGAAGCTGCGAGCAAAGGTTAAGAGCGCTGGAAAAAGAGAAAAAGGTGCGCGCGTATATATATATATATATATATATATATATATATATGCGTACGTGTAACCACACACAGAAATACACCGGTGCGAGAGATTCTGTAAATTGAATGGCTCTCTCCGTTGTTATATATCTTTACTTTGCCCACCGCGACTTCTTCGCCATCGTGCGCCACAGAATCGAGCTGAATAGCGCAGATTCTATTATAGACAAGGAGTCATGCTGTTTCTGACCCAAAGGGAGAGAAAAAGATGGCGACAGAGAGACATAGACAGAGAGTGAGAGAGAGAGAGAGAGAGAGAGAGAGAGAGAGAGAGATCTAATGCTATTTTCATGCATTATGCATGTCTTGGCAAATTGTGTTATTTGTACAGGCGCACAAACCAAGTGAGGAAAAGGAAAACTAGTGGGATAGCAGAAAACGAGGGAAGCTTTGCGTTGTAGGAAGAGACAGGGAAAAGGACAAGTCGGGCGAAAATAGAAGGAACAGAATCCAGTGGTAAAAGCACTTACTGATATAGTCAAGAACGTTCTGAAGTTATATTATCTCGCTCACTCGCTCAACCATTTTATGAAAAACGATTGTCGAAATTTGGACTAAATCCATGGAGCCATAGTTCTACGTTTATACGTTAGACACTTAAATTTCTTATTCGGCTTAGTTCATTCATATTTCCTCGTATGATCCTAGACGTGACTGCTACTTCCTTGGGCGCTCCACGGTTTCTGAATACTATATGGAGGGGACGAGCATAAGTAACCGGTTGTGACATAAAAGAATGATTGCCACACGCGAGAGAACGAACTGATAAGATAGTCGGGAAAAAGCAAACTTTAAAAACTTTACGCTGCTCCAGATTCACGGGATTCAAATAGCTTTGCGAAAATTTCTACGTTTCAATTGTTTTAATTTATGTTGGCCTACATTCTAACGACCTGTTTGATAATATCAATATCCATTCGATATGCGAATGCACAAAAGCACCTTCGATCGAAATTTATTTGTGCCAGATTAGATTGAGTAAATGTACTTGATTTTCATTAATTGATAGCGCTCAATTATAATTAGATGCTTAATATAAAAGGATTATTTATTTACGAAGTATTAGCATTTACTGCAATGTAAAATGAAAATTTTAATGAAGACTTTGTCGCCAAATAGAAAAACTTAGCAGCTACAATATCTAATTTAGCACTAGTCACATCCTACAATTATATATGAAATATAACAAAAATTATTTATTAAAAGAATGTTTGTGTAAAACTTTTAATCCATGCCGCATCATTAATTAATAGCATCTTATCTCTTTAATTTACAAAAGAAGCATGAAAATTAAATATTCTATTGGCATAAATATAGGTTATAAATTTTCTAGTAATCGATATTGAATATAATTTTATATTTCTAATTTTGTAGTTTATACTCATAAATTTAAGAAAGTCATCATTTGCAATATTCTTGTCTATAGGATACTTATCGAGTTTTAATTATCGAAAATTAAATAATCAACAATATCAAATTGATTTACTCTTTGGCCCCATTAATATTATATTTAATTAATAATTACAATAATTAATGGTTATAAATTGTCAACAAAACTAAAAAAAACTTGGCTCTCTAAGCCCGTACATGACATAACATAGAGCACATGAATTACGTACATAAACATAAGCAACTAACAACATCCACTTGGAATATCATTTGGAATTTAGCACTTGGAATTTACTAAAATAAAAAATAATTTTTTATTCTTGTTGTAGTCTAAAAGAAGTGTTTACTCTAAAA